TAGAGAACTGAAGAACAGCAGCAAGTGGAGCCAGGCCATATCTCAGCAACCTGCGAGCAATCAGTGTATTATCTTATTTTTTACAGCACTGATTCCTTTCATAGAGTGACAGGTGTTCTTAGAGTTAAGGAACCTTTTCATGGTATCATACAGAAATGCTACATGCTGTGATTTATCACATCAGTACTGTGGATGCAGGGATCAGTGCTCATTTTCTTGGACACACTTAGCTTTAAAAGGGGACTAGGAAAGAATCTGAAGAGAGCAAACAATTTGCAATCAGTACCATTTTAAGAGAATAGAGGCCTGATTCTCCTCTCTCACCAAGTTAACTCAACTGAGTCAGACCTTCTGATGCTTAAGCTGTTGTAGCTTTACTGAACTTGACAGAGCTAAGCCACTTTACTCCAGCAGAAGATCTGGCCCCTTGACATTAAAGAAGTTACTCCTGATTTACACTGGTGCGTGAAGAGAATCAAGTCCTGTTTGTGTAGAGTTATGCTTTATCTCAAAAATAGCTGCTTAAGATGTGCCCTAAATATGGTAGAAACAGATAGTTACACTGACAAAGCATACAACTGCATTTGCAAAAAAGTGTGTGTTTACATATGCATTTTTAGCGCTCTGTAAAGAGGAGTGATAATTGCATTCTTGCAACTGTATAATTTACTAGCACAATTACCTGTTTGTTCCCATGTGTGCATACACTGTCTCTCTCTGTTAGGTACCTATTTTTAAAAATCTGGCTTAATAAACATATTCTAAACACAATCTAGTTATTTTCTTCTTTAGCTAGCTGCATGCTCCAATTGACTATGATAGGTCAGGCATCATCAACATATAGCACACGGTGATGTTTCACAGAAAGGGTCAGTTATTAGTGACCTTGGATGACTACCTTAAAGATGAGACACTATACAATTTAAATAAGCTACATAGTGAATGCTTCCTTCTCCCCTTGATAATGCTTTTAGGGTGTCCAAGTCATATTTCATTGGTTATTAATATTTTTAGGTTACCTTTAACATAGTATCCAATTCCATCATATTGCAATGCAAGTTTGCTGGATTTACTGTATCACAATCTAAATACTAACATAAGAATGGGCATAGTGGGTCAGACCAAGGGTCCATCCAGCCCAGCATCCTGTCTACCGACAGTGGCCAATGTGAGGTGCCCCAGAGGGAGTGAACCTAACAGGTAATGATCCAGTGATCTCTCTCCTGCTATCCATCTCCACCCTCTGACAAACAGAGGTTAGGGACACCGTTCGTTACCCATCCTGGCTAATAGCCATTAATGGACTTAACCTCCATGAATTTATTTAGTTCGCTTTTAAACCCTGTTATAGTCCTAGCCTTCACAACCTCCTCAGGTACGGAGTTCCATAGGTTGACTGTGTGCTGTGTGAAGAACTTCCTTTTATTTATTTTAAACCTGCTTCCCATTCATTTCATTTTGTGGCCGCTAGTTCTTATATTATAGGAACAAGTAAATAACTTTTCCTTATTCACTTTCTCCACACCAATCATGATTTTATATACTTCTATCATATCCCCCCTTAAACTCTTTCAAGCTGAAAAGTCCTAGCCTCTTTAATCTTTCCTCAAATGGGACCCATTCCAAGCCCCTAATCATTTTAGTTGCCCTTCTCTGAACCTTTTCTAATGCCAATATATCTTTTTTGAGATGAGGAGACCACATCTGTACGAAGATGGATTTATATAAGGGCAATAAGATATTCTCCGTCTTATTCTCTATCCCTTTTTTAATGATTCCTAACATCCTGTTTGCTTTTTTGACTGCTGCTGCACACTGCGTGGACGTCTTCAGAGAACTATCCACGATGACTCCAAGATCTTTCCTGATTAGTTGTAGCTAAATTAGCTCCCATTGTATTGTATGTATAGTTGGGGTTATTTTTTCCAATGTGCATTACTTTACATTTATCCACATTAAATTTCATTTGCCATTTTGTTGCCCAATCACTTCATTTTGTGAGATCTTTTTGAAGTTTGAAGTTACTGTAGAATGTCTGAAGTACTTTCCTTACCTTCAGACACTGGTCTCATTTTCACTATCACTGCCACCATCAAACTAACAAGACCACTGATATTAGGGGCAGTGTAATCAAGATACTCCTATTCTAATAAAATCACACACACTTTTTGTTATGTGTTTCCTTTCATGAATCTCTTAAGAGGAAAACAAAGTATTACCAAAATTAACAGAATAATATTTAGTTTCACCAAAACAATATAAGCAAATCTCTAAAATGGTTTGCTCATACTACACAAAACTGTTAAGAGTCCACAGAAATTTTCTTCATTAGTTTGTACAGTCATCTGTGAGCCCAATATAGCCTATACAACTGCTTTTTTCAGAAAAAGCAAAAAAACCGTGGTGAATAAGATGTGTATATTTTATTTTCAGATAAATCAACCAAAAGCAAAGGAATCAGCAAAGTCAGATCATGGAGTTCATACCTGAGCCCTTACAGCAATACAATTATCCAGCATGAAGGAAGCATAGAGTGCTGTTTACTTTTATTAGGTTCCTTTCTCTCCTTCTCCTAGCAAATAGATCTATTCACTCTTCTCCCATAATTCCTAAAGGACTTCCTTACTGCATACTTTAAGCAGTGAAAAGTCTCTGAATGCAGTTTAGCCATACACATTCTGTGCACTTCTGAAGAGTGTTAAGGTCTGACCAGTGAATAAAATCTCTACCATACATACTCCAAAGTGTCACACCCATTTCCTTGCCTCTTGTTCAGATGAAGGATTCACTCTTGGCTAATCTGACCCTATTCTGGAATACTAAGGATACTGATTATTATGGCTAGTCCCTCTGATGTGATGGGACTGCATTGACGTGATACATGTGCCTCCAATCTAAACTGCAGGTTTTGCTTCCTGATGTTCATATTGAGCTTTATCATTTTCCTTTTATTCACAGGCTAATTTCTGTAGATTAAACCTTTGCAAACGTACTTCCTTTATTCCACAGAGCTCAAATTCTTTGTTAGTTCAAAATTCATATTAGATCTCATCCTCTGGTTTCACTACTAGCTAAGATGTGTTTTGGGGATAGGCATAGGCGGTTCTTTGACTTCAACAGAAATTAAGCACACGATTAAAGTTAAATACTGTACGTGCTTAGGTACTTTGCCGAATCCAGGCCTTTTTGAGGGACAATCATGAGTTTGCCTTCACACAGATGAACTTCCTGCAGAAAGTATGGTATCTGCATCATTATGCAGCTTGTCAAGTCAAACACATTAAACCTGCAAGAGGGCATAACGTCAACAAAAAAAGCTACAGGCTAAGTGCAATGGACCGTTTATAATGAACTCTCTCGACTATAAGCAGGAGTTCTAACTTGGCAGAATCAAAGCGTTCAGAGTACGAGTCGAACATGCATGGAAAAGGAAAGGGCAGTCTCTGGCCAGTCACTGGAAAAACTCCAAAATAAAATATAGCTCCTATATCTGTGTGCGCAGTGTTTTGGTCACGTGTTGTAAGACAGAACAGGGAGATGAAAGGTGGAGTGTGAAGAAAGACATTATAATATAGCTTCCAAATCTTTATAATTTTCTTGTCTCTGTCCTCCCAGCTTTCTGCAGTGTCACTATCCAAAACAAAAGTCAGGCCCTTCAGTTAGCAAGGTGCAGCAGCATCTGAGGTCTTTGGCAACCCTAAATGACAGGCAGCATTTTTCCATAAAAGAGTCCAAAGGATTTGTATCCATTTTTATTAGCATCTTTGGAAAAGTGCTCTTTTTGCAGATTAATACAAGTGATCATAAAATGGGATAACTAGCTGTAATGAAGTGCATAACGATGAAATGTATTTCACATTGTCCAATATACTAATGAGGTTTTCTTAAGTCTTGTTAAAAAACTTGCTGTGTTTCTCTATTCAAGCCTAAAATTGTGCCTTTGAAGAAAATACTACTCAATAATTCCTGCAATTGTTACTACTAGGAAAAGGGTGATGTATTTATTTCAAAGCTGCCTAAGAGAGCTAGATGTCCAACTTCCACTGAAAGCTTTTGAAAATCCCAGCCTTAACATTATGAAAAGAAAAGAACTATAATTTTTCCTTTCATAGACGCCGTCCTTTTCAAGTTTCCACCAGCTTTGTACAAAATAGAAAAGGAAAAACAGGAACAGGAGCAGTGATGTGAGCTAACCCTACATATATAGTAATTCTCTATCACCACCATTAAGCCCTCCTTGTTCCATATCAATGGAGACTTTGCCTAAAAAGCAGAGTATCTTTTTTGTCTAAAATTTATCTATGTATGTTCATATCATGACATCTTGTCAAATGGCGTCAGTAGCTGCTCTTAATTTGCCCCTGATCTGTGAAGTCCTAAGACAAAATTTTGTTGAGGTTGAGCATGTTTGAGTGTCTACACTAAAAAAAAAAAAAAATTATATGAAACTTTTGGTACCTGCTGTGGGGATATATTTTCAGAGCAATGTGAAGTGAGTGAGATGTGTGGCTTTCAGTTACCTTACCTGAAGCCATCTGACTAAATTCCAATGCATCACAATGAAATTTTGCCCCCCCAATATATAAAGTAATTCAGTAATTTACTGCTAGGCCACAACTACTCGCCAAGAGACAGGAAGAGAGATTTTGGGGAAAAAAAATTTCCATTTACAGGAACAACTCTTCATTCAGAGTAATGATGTTATCTGGAATAACACAAATGAACAAACAGGCAATGAGCAATGTGAATCTGTCTTCTACCTCCAAATGTGCACACCTCTCATTTTCAATATAGAAGTAATCTTGTTTTTTCCATACCAAAAATGTATTTAAATTTAGGTATCACACAGTGAAAATATCACTTCAGATAAATTACTCAGTAATTCCAAATAATCCCTGAAATTGATCTCTCAGGTTAAAGCATTTCTGCCTGTTTCCTCCCCCCCCTCCCCAAAGTGACAGATAGCAGGCTATAATCCCCAGCTGCAGATGAAAGCTCACCTTATTACAAAGTCATGGTTGTCAATCTCCTTTCCACATGCACTGTCCAGGAGGATGCCAGAATTGCCCACAACTGCACATGTTTTAAACCGACGGTTCTTCATTGGTGAAACTTCAGGAAGGAGGCTATGCAAATCCTGAGAAATGTTCAGGGTGCGACGTCTGTCAAGCACATAGTGAATTACGTCTCCTGGCTTGAAGCTGCTTTTGACCACTGAGACATCTCTTTCAGCATCCAAAAATCGAAGAATATTCTTCCTATTTGGAAAGAAACAGGCAGACAGTATTCATTCCTCACAATCAGCTCATCTTTTAGTAATATGGTATAAAAAACATAGAACATAAAAGAGCATAAGGTTTCAGATTTTCATTCCCACAATATCAGACTATGCCATTTCAGGTGCTATAAAATTATGTTAGGGCTCCATTAAAAACCCTTATGGTTTTGATTAAAAAATGTAATGTGACAAACAATTACTCAAAGACAGTCTAATCACTAGATGTTAAAGAATTAAGTGACTATGGATTCAAGTTTTAAAAGTTGGACAGTGCATATGTGCAGTAACTGGTTTTGAGTAGTATTTTAGAAAACTATCTGGCATGTGGGTTAATGCACAGATTCCAGAATAAACTGCATCATTCTATTTTATTAACAACCGGTAAGTTAAAAGATATTTACAGGGATATGAATGTAGCCTCGTGTGTCAAAAATCAAGGAATGAACTAGCATGTGTCTAAGCCTTGGTCGAGTTGTCAGAGCTGGCAGCTAGATAAAACATTTTTTTAACCTCTAAACTGAGCATCTCTGTCATGGAAATCAGCAGGAGATAAGCCTGGATTCCCCACAGTGTCTTTTTTTACAGATTCATTATCACACTGGAACTGCACTTTTAAAAGATTTGCAGAGTTCCTCTCATCACCATGTCCTTCAGTTTTAAGCACCAAGTTGGTATTATTATTCAGTGTGCTTGCACATGTATAACTGATTAGAATTTAGCACTTGTCTACACAGAGAAATTGCAGTTTTGTAACTTAAATCAGTTTAAGTTCAATTTAAGCCTTGTCTACACAAACTTGCAATGGTTTCATTAAACAAGTTCAGTTGTACTGGTGCAAACCCTAACGTACACACTTATTTTGGTTTACTATGGACTTATTTTGGTTGATCTTAAGTCAGTTAGGAACGGGTTTAAGATGAACCAAAATAAGCCACTATTAAACCAAGTTAAGAGTACCTTTGTGCGGACACTCAAAGATTTAAATCTGGTTTATGTCAGTTTAGCTTGCACCTCTGCAAGCCAAACAGCCAGGTTTAAACCAATATAAGAGTGTCCACAGCATAAGTTCCACCGTTTTAGCTACATCAGTTTTAAAACTACCAGTGCAACCAGTGCAACTGTACATGTAGACTGGCCCTTAGTAAACAATTTCCTTGATAATGAACAAGTTGGAAAAGATCTGGTCCACTCTGTCAGAGCCCAATTGTACAAATACCACCAGCTACAAATCTTGAATCAGCAAAGCATTTAAGCACACGTTTAAGTCTCTCTCTATTCAGCTATGTACTTACGTTTGTTAATGGGACTACAGTACATGTCTAAAGTTAAGCAGGTGCTCAATGGAATGCGGAAGTGGGGTTAGAACTACACTGAGGGCCTGACCTGGCAAAGACATTAGCCTAACTCTTACTAAAGCTTATTAAAGACTGCTCATTATATATATGTGCCATCTGGAAGGCAGAAGAGGGCTCTTAATTTTAAAACTGGTTATGGAAGAAGATTTAGTTAAAGCAGATTTGCTATCAATTAAATGGTGCTTTCCCTAAAAAGGTGTTCTACCTCAACATTGGTTCTACAATTCTAACAGGAGAAAAAAAAGCTGTAAAAGACATCTTTTTATCATTCAAGTCAGCAGATAAGACTCTGAATGCACAACAAGCATTTTGTTGAGTGTAAAAATAGCATTTTCTTATAGTCACTTTAAGGACTCTGCATTGCTAATCCTTAGAACAGAATCAATACTTACCAGGAAAACCATCCTGCTGTTTTAACTGCTGTACAAGCTATTTAGAAGCACCTACTGGGAAATGAAAGGGGGGAAATAATCTCCAGAGGTGAAGGGACAAAAACACAACATCATGTAGGCCAGTCAGCTACCCTGTGTCACTGCCTCAAGATACAAGAGAATGTCTGGTAATGAAACTGGTTACAAAACATTTGCTACACTGGAATTTACCTTAAAAGCCTAAGGGAAAGTGAAACATAGTAAGATTTGTTTCTAATGTTATCTCCCATATCTTAAACCTAACTAAAATAAAGAGAAAACTTAAATTCTATGTTAGGGCTCTTGTGTATGCATGAAGTAGCATCAGAGCAAGGATATCTGATGATGTAGCATGCATGAGGGACCGAGAATAATGAAGCAGAATGGGAAATATTAAAACCTTAAATGCCTTAAGCTTTTGGTAAATGGTGTATATGGCAAGGCAAGGGATTTTTGTTTTGTTTTTTGTAAAGCAAGATAAATACTTTCTTCAGCCTGTAAGTTTAATAGACTTAAAAGCCCTGTGGGTTTGATATGTCTAGTTTTGTGGGCACTTGCCATAGAGATGTAAATGACTAGGAAAAGAATGAATGAAGAAAAACATTTGAGCAGATTGAATTAAAATCCTGGTAAAAATATTTATTACATAGGAATGCACCCTTCAGAGTTGGGGCTTTTTAAAGGAGATGGTGACTACATCTAGAAGAACAGTGGCCACAATGGAGAGCCTCAATGAATAGGTGAAAATGTCAAAGGACTCTCGGGGACCTGAGTGAAATAAGAATCATAAGGGAAGAGGGATCAGGAGGATTCACTTTCAATACCTGATATACACTTTCAATATCTAAGAGGCACCTGGCTATTATGTGTGTGCTAGCAAACGTGCAGCTACATTTGCACATAAACAGGATTTCCCCATGTATTGTTTTACTGTGCCTTTTTAAATGTTAAAGGCATCCAAGTGGGGAATAACTTTCTATCTCAATTAACACGAAAGAAATTAGATAGAAAGAGCCCTGGCTTGAATTGGGACTTGTACTTATTAATTTGAATATGGGCAATTCACAGCGTAAACTCACTAGTTATCTAATTATTTTTAAATGCATGAAGGTCCTGATCTAGCTCCCATTAAAATTAATGGAAGTCTTTCATACATATGTATTGAATAATTTGAATAAGAGATCATTCACAATTTACAGCTTTGTTTACAGGACAAGTTTACAAGATAGCGCTATTGCTGACATGATCATTTGTTGGAGAGTTCGCTCTTAATATGAACTTCTGATTTCAGTTTCTATTAAAACTGTGGGCATAACTTCAGGTTATTTAATAAGCAATATATAATTATTAGCGATGACACTTATTTATAGCTTTCTGGGTGATAGTCTATAGACTCCTTTTACATATGGCATTTTTCCTCTTAATATGTAGTTTACCATTACAAAGCTCAAAATGCAATATTTGCACTGTGCCACAGAACCATAAAAATTGTAGCTTCTCCAATCTCTGCCTGAGAATTGTGTAGACTGAAGAAGAGTTGGGTGGGTAGACTTTTTGAACTTAAAGGCTCTAGATTAATTTGTAGCCCACTAATGATTGGTCCATTTTCTTGAACAATCTCCCAACTTCAAATCTCCCAGCAAGATCCACAGAGACCACATATCCTGCTTTCACCCATCTCCCAGGAAGATTCACATCCCCAAGCCAGCTAGCACTGGAAGTCCTAGTTTCCAGAAAGGGTCAGGGTTTATGTTCCAGTTGTCTCTAGTAGAAACAATTCATGAGGTGAATTTGCCAAAGAGCACCATAAATATCTAGGAAGCCAGACCAACCCCAGAAACACTAGTGTTAAACCTGTTAGAACTACATTGAGAGGTCCTGCCCTGGCAAAGACATTAGCCTAATTCTTACCAAAGCTTTACCAGAGACCATTCATTAAGCATACACCATCCGGAACGCAGAGGAAGTTCTTAATTTCAAAATTAGTTATGCAAGATTTAGTTAAAACAATTTGTTGTCAATTAAATGGTGCTTTCCCTGAAAAGGTATTGTTAACTCACCTCCTTTATCTGGCTGAATATAGATTTAGATAAGCATTTTGGGGGCAAATTTTGCCTCCTCCCCACTTCACACTGACTCCTAATGAAGTCTATAGGAATTGCACATGTCTCTGAAAGCAGATTGTGGTCTTACGTTAATACAGATTTTTTAAATGTTTATATTAAGAGAGAGAACCAAAAATATTATTGTTTCACAGGGAACAACTGGGCTTGCCTTCAGCTGCGCATCCAAACAGAAAGTAGTATAGTATACTTCGTTATCTGAAAATACTATTTATCCAAATCCACACAGTGCCCCCCATGTAGTCCTAAATTAGTAATAACACTTCCATTTATCCAAATGCCTAGTTATCTAAAAGTTTTGGATATTGCCCAGCAGAGCTGGCTCCAGGCATAAGCAGCAATAAGCAATTGCTTAGGGTCCTGAGCAGCTCAAGGGAGCCCCCTATTTGCTTTTTTAGTTTGTGTTGGGGTGGGGGCCAAAACAATTTCTGCTTAGGGCCCCCAATGGGATAGCATCACCTCTGTCCCCCGGGCTATTTGGATAAATGAGAGTGTATTTGATTTTTAACAATTCTAAAGAAGTGAAAAATGCATACTTTAATTTGATTAACCAATTTTTATTTTTCTGTATTTCTTTTCATACTCTCACTATGCATAGTGATCACTAAGAAACTTAACTGACAATAGCTACGCAATTCTAACAATTGCTTTACGTACTGTACGTTGAGTATATATATTTAGTAATTGCAATGAGCTTTCTGCATGCTATTAAAAAAATAAACAGATTCATGTTTAACTTCTCCAAGGAACTGCTGCTGATTACTTAAAGGCAAATGGTCACTATCAAGAATATCTGCATGTGTTTTTAATTGCCCTTAAAGCATCTCTGTAAACCAAGTCTCTGATTTTTAAATATCACATGGATCATTTTGACAGTAGCTAAAACTAATTTCTCTAATTAGAATACAAAAATAGCAAACCTTGCATGTCTTTTCACTTGAGCCCAACTTTGGACTTTTTAGTTCTATTTTGGTCCTTGTATGTATTTTTGTATAGAATAAACAAAATGTCTAAATATATAAAAGCAACTAGCAAGTCTCACACATTACTAACTGCTCCTTTAGAAAGATGCTACAGAATCATTCGGTACAT